GAGGGTCTCGTTTCCATCCGAGAATCTCTTCCAACTATCGTATCCTTCTTGGTTGCACCGCAGATAGAGAGAGAATAGGGAGAGAGACAGACAGATAGACATGCAGACAGACATACAAGAAACTGTGAGGGGCAGATGGAGACCACCATCGTTCTTCTTTGGCACCTTCCCGCAATGGTGTAATCTATACCCGTCCGTTTCTATCAATACTCCGCTCGTAAGAATCAACATCTGTGTCGCTCCTTTAACGGTTCTCCCTCTAGTTCCGCATGGTCAAATACTCTATCAACCGACTGCCTCTGGCGCAGATCTTGTCTCAAAGGCAAAACTTGGCGATTGTATTGATGAACTTGATGGATCCTTTTGTACTGCTTGCTCCCCACTCCTCTTCGGAGTGGCTGGCGGTGGTATTTTTCGATTACGATCTCTCCGGACCCTGACTATCTTTGCGCCTGGTTTCGGGACGCATTTGCTCCGGAGTATGCCATGTCCATCATGATGGAAGCATTAATGAAACAAAATGATACATAACTCCTGCCATGGATGGCATATTTTGACACTGTCAATGCACTTCTCCAGGCCTTGATCCTCCCGAGACCCTCAATGCATCTTTAGTTATATAACTACAGACAAGCATGGTTACCGATAGCCAGAGCTTCCTTTAGCAAGTTCGCACCGGTCAACCACCGGAGAAAGCCGATTTGAACGAGCAGCTCCAGACCACCTGTCCTTTTGAGGCCCTCTCGTGCCTCTTGGTTATGTTCAATCGATGTCGTCGTGAAGGCCCACTATGACACGAGAGAGTGATGGTGCTCGCAATCAACCCTATATTATACACATACTATTGTATATGTACAGTGACAGATGTAGTACAGGTGCAGACAGAGAGACATCGCACTCGAGGTCGAGATCCCGCATCGATTACGTAGTGGTCAACGTGCACACCCTGGGCAATCTCAGTCAGTTGACCGCCGCTGCTGCCTTGATCTATCCCAAACCCGCCCTCCCGTGTTACAGAACAGCAACGGTAAGTATCAGAAGATGGGTGACAGCTGGTCTTTTTTTTTGGGGGGGAAGGGGGGGTGGCGGACAAGAAGGACTTCGATCTTCGGCTCCTACTGTTGCTTCGCTTCATCCCAGAAGGGTTTAAGCTGCGATGTGCCTCTCGGGAATGTTCCAGTGGTGAGTTCATCAGGTGCAGCCACTGCCGTATCTACACAGTGCTGCGTTCTATTCTTATCGTTATCGAACTCGACTCAAGGTTCAAACAATGCATCGATGAGCCGGTGGCTGCAGGGTCAAGATTTGCTTCTCTTGGGGGATTCTACCCGCTGCAGACACCGCGGAGATGTTTCGACTCTCCGCAAAATTTATGGGGAAAAGCAAAGGCATTTGCTTTGAAAATTGCAAAAACAAAACACAAAAAAAGCAAAAAGAAAATCGCATGCGTAATACCAGCAAGCGTCAGAGACATGCATGCATGTTGGAAGCCAACTCCAGTAGCAAAGCAAGAAGACGACCAATATGCCCGTGTTTGGTGCAACTGAAGCCGTGCAGTGCAGTTGGAGGAAAGACGCCCTTTGGATCTGCGCACACTTTCCCGCCGAGGGGGCCAGCCACTCAGGGGCGACTCTTTAGGGGATGGGGGCGCTCAGTAGCCCCACGGGCCGCGTGTCCCATTAGGTTGATCGTTTTTGGTCCTGTTGATTGCGAATTACTCGAGTGAGTACGGAGTATGTGTGCAAATGCCCAATGGTAGAAAGCTGAAACTAGTCTCATTGCCCCGTCAGCACATTTTGCGCCGATTCATTTATTTCCGGGCCTCAGCAAGCCAGTCAGATACACTCAGCACTACAAAGTACTCTGTCCTAGACACTACCACCATCATTCCATGGTGCCCGATATTGCGTAGGGGCAGGAGGATCATTCAATATGTCCTCTTCATCTAAACTATACGCACACACTCTCAGTGTGTGTCTTGAAGCCGCGCACTGTACTTAAGAAGAACCAGTCCAAGGAACTCTCAATAAGTGGACTGCCCAGCTCTACAGTGTGAAGGTTCTATGTATAGCAGATCTACATACCATGGCTGTCTCTCCGGCCACATAATGAGCGCCCACCTGTGCCCCGGTTCGTCGCCAGGCTGCGCACACAGTGGCAAACCCTTGAGCCTCACAGGGTACCCAGTCTGTATGGGCTGACAGGACTCGCCTCCGAGATTCTGCCCTGTACTCCGGAGTACTGTACCTGGGTGGCAGTTGTGGCACTGCGGTTGCGGTGGATCGCGATCAGCAAGTCAAACCATGAAACCGGAGGATTCAGAGCCCAATAATCTACAGCAGACTCGACCGCTCCGTTGTCCGGACGCGTGTACGCCCGCGACCTGCCACTTGGTGTTGCGTCGATGACATCCGCAAGCCCGCCGTTGATGATTCTTCATTGATGGAACTTCTCTTGTTGTGCATATGATAATGAGGGGGGTGCCGGGGGGGGGGGTTTCAAGTCACTGGGCGCATAGCATAGCCGGCTAATGTTGGGGTGCACGCACGTTTAGTCATCCGAAGTTCTAAGACGATTATCATCAACTTTTTGCAGGATTGGAATCCTGACTTGACCAGTTGGGGGAAATTAAAAGAAGAGTATTTGAGCTAGAAGAAGAAGATCGACAAGACCAGTTCCCCCTTTCGCAATGCCTTGGGCGGGTGGCTATTCTCGCCAGAAAGGTCAATGCCGGGTAATTTAAGCTTGAACGCCGGTCTTGGCAGCTGTCAGGGACCCTTGAGAATTGAAGATACAGCTGAGATCATCTTGTGCTGGTCTGTCCAGGTGTATTGTACTTCGTACGACCCTACACTTGCAGACAAGCAGAGCAGACAGGGCTTCTATTACATTTCTTGCTACCTAGATTTGCATCCAACAATCGATATCAAGTAGAATCCTGTAAGTTACGCAGATTCAAGGAGGAGAGAAAGATAACTTTCGCCCCGTCCGATCTTCACTCTAAACATGACCGTTCAGTTCCCACCCGTCTATCAATCCTCAAGAAAGGCACAAGTGTCCCCACTCCAGAGAAAAAACCCCATCGCTCAATCTGGAAGGATGAGCGCTTGTGTTTTTCTCCCTCCTTTCCAGGTTCCATTATCTCAACCGCTTTTCCCACAACCAGACAAACAGACTGGATCCTCCGGGGGTTGCCAAGAGAGCAAGACGGCACAAATCGCACCATGACTTCAAAAGTGCCATTGATTCGAGGTTGGCTGAGCCTTTCCCTTCAGGGTCCATAACGGCTCCTTTTTCCCGCTCCCTTAAAGGGTCCGCTTCCCGGATCAATTGCCATCTGCGAGAACCGGGTTCGCCAGTTTGATCGACACAATGCTGTTCTATTTTCCTGCTTGCTTGCTGGACTTCATGGTTCGTCATTGATAGAGTAGTCAGGACTAGTAAGTTAACCCTGAAGGGTCGCTTGCCGCATGGTAACAGTACTCCGGGCCCGGCCCTCCTACGAGCAAAGGGAGAGAGGTCCTGGCTGGCTTGCTCGTGAAGTGTGTAGATCGAGAGGGTTTCGCTTATGGAGTACTCCGTAAGCGGCTTAGTACGTAGCCGATCTGCTGGATTATTTTGCTATTCAACGAGGAAAAGGTATATCGCAATCAGTTGTTGGGTGTTGTGCATCGTGCATAATAGTTACATCCCTCTCTTTAAAACCAGCAAAAAGGTCTTCGTACCACCTTGGCAGATCAAATTCATTAGTAGATACATGGGAACTGACTAACTAGCAGTCAGTCCGATCCTTAAGTTCAACACGGACATCAACATGGTCAAGCAACATATGCAGCTGCCCGGTAGGATGCACCCCTCCCATCCTACTTTGAAATCTACTTAGCCCATAGATCAATACGTTCAAAGACCTATGTACTTCGGGCTTTGAACTGAACCTCAATCTAACTGCATCTCTAAGTAAAAGATATCGAAAGACTCAGCCCCCTACCTCCCCTTTAAAAAAGGCACCACATCATTATCATCAACATTTCGAATTATGCCTACTGATAAATACCAAATAGAGGAATATAAGAATCAACCAACAGCTACACTCATTCCAGCTCCAACCCCATATCGATCCTCGAACCATCTCAGCACCCACCCCGATATTCCATAGAAACTACCTACGTATAATCCTATATACTTAGTACTCCGAACCACCTTGGCCCAGAACCTAGCAAACCAGTCAGCACACCCCTTTCCCTCTTCTCCCCCTTCTTAAACTCATATCAAAGCGGAGCGGAACCACCGAGCACGTTCCTCGAAAATCTCGTGTCTGTAAATGACTGTGTAGCCAGTAGCCACAGTGGACATAAGTTCGTCGCTGCGAAAAGAGTGGAACACTATTCAACGATCGCGTGTTTCAAAATGTCATCGAACTTTGTCTTTTGGGAGGGGGGCAGCCGCAAAGCCACTATCGAAAGGGGATGGGAGAGGGGAATGGATGGATGGATGGATACCGTAGAGCGGGGACTGAAGTTCGTGGTGTGCCGGCCCACTCGTTCTCCTTTTCTGCTCTTCTCCCCAAATCGGCTTTGGCAAGTTGACGTGTTTTTGTGCTTCGGAGGGAAAGGGAGGGGAAGGGAAGAGAAGAGAAAATGGTTTCTTCAAGTTGAGAGATGGGTATGTGCCTTGTTCGTGGGAAGAGGGATACTAAGGTCAAGACGGCAAGGAGGCTCTTCGATGAGTCTTACTTGCTTCGTGGTCTCACTTTCACAACGATGATGATCAGGTACGGTTACCTATCTAAAGCTCTGTGCACTGTATGTACTCTACATGTGCCATGTACACATTGCTAGCGAAGTAATGGTCATGGATGTGCCACCGAGCTTGGTATATGGCACAAGCTTTCACTAGCTGGGCCTGTCAGTGTTAGACTGCATATGACATCTGCGGGATAGACGACACGGAGTCTTCCAAGGTGGTACATGGCTACGGAACAAAGCGGGAGAAATGTCTGTGTCACTTCAGGATCAACCTTCAGTTGATTTGTACCTGGTGGAAAACGGCATTCAGGCGTTCTATCATCATTGATGTATTCGTCAATCGTCAGTGTCGTATTACATGGTGTATTTACAGCTATATCATTCCTCATAAGCTCCCTCACGGTCTTCGAATGTCATGAATTCGTGATCGTTGGCCTCGTCGCCCATGATAGTCTGCCAAGCATTCTTGACCGTGTCGATCAAAACATCATCAAAAGCCAAGTCAAGGCTTGGAGGCGGAAGCCGGATGATGCGCTCAGGAGAGGAGACTGGCTGAGCAGAGATACTCTCGGCTCGACCCAGCTGGGTGTAACGCAGTGACCAGAGAACCTTTACATCAGAACCAGCGGCTGATTGAAGAAGCTGCTGTACTGCAGTATCGATCAAGGCCTGCCCGTCCGATCCAGGTCTGCTGACACTACCATAGAGGACACCTGACAAAACGTGTCAGCGAGATGTGTAGAACAATCATGCAGCAAATGAAAATAAGGTGATGTGCTCTTTATCAGTCTTCGTGAAGTTTACATCAAAAGTGATCAGGCAATGTAGATAAGTTTTGAAGATAAGTCATCATAAGAGCAGAGGGAGGGCAGAGTAGGAAGACGTTTGATAACTTACATTGACCTGTTGGACACTCGCCTGTCTCGCTAGAGTGAACCAGAATGTAGACTGGAGGCGAATCATCGGGCTCCCCAAGAGAAGCGCCTGGGAAGGTGACAACAGCCCCCACAGGCACCGGTCCACCCTCTGCTGTGGCAGGAAAGAGGCTCTCAAGGGCAGATGAAACGACCGTGATAGACCGTGCCACTTTGTCACAATCGCAAGACAGACGAGTTTCTGTAGGAAAATCCCAATTAGAGCCAACGACAAATTTGGTCTTGATTGACTCTCCATTGGTCAGCGACAACTGAATCCGAGAGTCATCACTGATGGCGTGCTCCACGGGATAATCCAATGCCTCAATTCCAGTGTTCAAAACGTAAACACCGCCGCCAACAGCAAGGGCACGGCATCCGACCTGAGCGATTTCGGAGCCACCACCCCATTTGACTGCAAGACTTCCGAAGCCAGAGCCATATACTCCCAGCGAGGCCAGATGCCGCTTGATGCGGGCAACGGCATAGTGTGCCGATGTTTGTTGTGGAGAGGCTTGCGATAGACAGAGGGATAGCAACGGCGCATGCAGCTCTTCCGGCACTTTGAACTTGGATGTAAGGTACTCGGTCAAGGATGCATCGCCGACGTCCTCTTCCAGCGACGAGCCTGCTCCACCAGCTTCGTCAACACCTGGTTGGGATGGACCAATATGACGAATGAACCTCATCAAAGTCCGTTTGGACTTGACGCTGATCATGTCATCTGCAAAGATGTCCTCACGACTGCCAGGGACACGATATAACCAATTGTCATTGCCGTCCCCGTGTCTGTGAATCCACCAGCTACCGACAGCTTGAAACTCCAGCTGCCGGTGAACCTTGGACGATACCAACGTCGGTAGCAACTGGGAGCGGGCGTAGATAAGCTGCGGAGAAAGGGAGAGCGTGTATGCTCGAGAAGCGGACAGTTGTGTGCCGGTTTCCGAGGATCCATCCCCTAGGCGTATGCTAGCATCTTCGAAGGGGTGGTCGCCAGTCTCTTCACTTATCCACACCCGTCAGACAGTGCTCAGAAGTAACTAGAGAACGACGGACATACCACTGTTGACTCTGTTGGCCCACTCTTCGGCTTCCTGAAGGCTGAATGCAGCTTCGGAGCCCCCATAGTATGGGTTTCTATCAACATGCAGGACGTTCTTGCCCGACCGAGACAGGGCCCTGTCAAGCACCCAACAGTCAGCGATGTAGTTGACAAGTTCCCTCATTGAACAGAACTCACAGTGCTAGGAGAGACTGGGCCAGCCCAGTGCCAGAGATTATTACATCCCAAGGCGTATCTGCTAGTGATTCCATTGCGATGATGACTTGACAGCGTACAAAGCTAGAATGAGGGACTTAGTGCTGTATGATTGTTTGATGAGCAAATCCAGCTGCTGTCACGTTGGATGACAAGCTGTGGAACACCTTGGAAGCAGGAATATCCAGCCCATGGGTGGTGCAACCCAGAACATTAGTCTCGAGAACGAAAAGGTTTTTTCAAGAAAAAGAAATCCAAGGACGCGTGAAGAAATACATGACCCGCAATTGGTGGATCACGTGAGAAGCATCACCGGACCCGCTATTGTCAGCGAGCTGTCCTCGCTGATACTCTATTGGCAGCATACGAGAGTATTTAGAAGTCGATATTGGCACCTAGAAGCCAGCCCACCCGATTGTACAGGAGGTATCCAGTCAGCGTCTCTTCGAGCACCTCATCAACATGCTGAAGCTTAGATCAACGGTCGTGAAGAGCCTATGTCTTACTTTCAGAAGGGAACATGGTGCTACGGAACAAGCAAAGCATGCCTAGAAATAGTATCTCAAGCTTTGGGCTTACTTGTGATGTTCTCTATGAGCCTAGTAACTCTTTCTTTTTCATCTTCAGTGTTAGTCAAGAGATCAAAAAGGTGCTATGCATGGATTGGCAACTACCTACACCTACTGTCCATAGGTCCTACCCGAGGCTCAAAGGTAACGCACTACTCCCGATACGGTTAGACGACATCTGGTTGAACCGCTTAAGGAGCGATTCTCCCACAACGTCAGGTTTCTTTCTTCTTCACACCACTCCTAGTGCTTTGCACAGGCTTACTGCTGTCTCAAGCGTAGCAGGAAGTCGTTCACGGATGAGCCTTCACTGGTCTTGTCTTATAGGAGTGGTAGAAAGAATCTTCACTCTGTATCTGCTGCTCTGGATGGTAACATCTGATGGAAGCGGTTCGTTTTGTAGTGATACATTCCAATCTTCTATACTCCGTCTGTCTGCGAACTACACGAGCGTAATCCCCCCCCTCCTGCGCAGATAGCAAGCTGTAGCTTCTACGGCCTAAGAATTGAGCTTGGCATCGTCGTAATGGCAAGGTATGGTTGCCGGTACTGTCCGTCTTCGCCAATGGCGTGTTTGCCGGCGCCATCATGCTCCTTCCATCCCAGTCATGCTGACCTCCCTATGGCCTGACAAATGTTCTGTGTCGTACTGGCAGGAGCGGTTGTAGCTGGGAATCAGTCGATGTAGCTCTGTGGTTCGATCTGCCTCGTAGTGGGCAATAACTCCAAGACGATCTCACTCATCCGCGCCTTCTTCCACGACCCTGGCGCGGATGATCTTGACCTCATCCATCGGTCTATCCTCTCCATTCGTCTTGACAAGACCCATGCGTTGGATCACTCTCATGCCGCTCTTGACGCGACCAAAGATGGTGTGCTTTCCGTCCAGCCACGGCGTCGGCGCGAGTGTAATGAAGAACTGGCTGCCATTGGTATTGGGTCCGCTGTTCGCCATGCTCAGAATTCCAGCCCCGGTATGCTTTAGGTTGGGATTGATCTCGTCCTCGAACTTCTCCCCGTAGATCGAGCTTCCTCCTCTGCCGGTGCCGGTAGGGTCGCCAGTCTGAACCATGAAGTTGGGGATGATGCGGTGGAAGATGATGTCGTTGTAGTAGCCTCTTTGCGCAAGTGTCGCGAAGTTCTTGCAAGTCTATTTGACATGGTATGAAGGGTTAGCCAAGAAACAGCTTGAGGAGATAGTTAGCTTGGTCTTTCGGTGACTGACCTTGGGCGCATGCGCATTATAGAGCTCAACTGTAAATGAGCCCTGGATACTGTTAGCTGGTTTATTTCTCCAGATCGCTTCGTACAGACATACCATGCTCGTATCAAAAGCCACGTCAGTCGCCATCACGAGTGTCAGCTGAGAGTAATGTACGAAGAATGAGAAGTGATGGCGGGGGACATGGAAAGGTCAAGGTGCGGCCGGAAAGTGAAGATTGGGTCTTGGCGTTGCATATTCACGCGGAACAATGACCGCATCCCAAGATACTGGTAAACACGTCTGTTTCAACAATCATGGCTTGAGCACCCTTCACCGTCTACCTCTCAAGACTCTCTCTGCCTTCTTGCAAAGGCAGCATATACTATAGCTCAGTCAAATATTCCTGTTCTAGGCCCTCGCAGACAAGATGGACGAAATCAGCCCTCTCGCGGAGTTCCTAGGCCAGGTCATCTACCATTTTACCCTCATTAAACCTCTGCTCCCAACTTACGGCCACCTCCTCCTCTCTGCGATCTTCCCTATCTATATAGGCGCGCATGCCTCTTTAGCGAAACCCCCGTCAGCCGCAAAGCCACTCAAAAAAACACAAGACTCCGAGTACGACTCGGATGACGACGAGGCGGAGGAGGAAAACAAGAGCGATGGCCACAAGATGGAAGGGCTGGCACCAAGCGATGCCTTAATCTTCCCTCTCACAGCCGGGCTCACGCTCGGAGGGCTATATCTGTTCATCAAGTACAAAGGCGCGGAGACGCTGAACAAGATTCTCGGCTATTACTTCTCACAGATGGGGCTGTTCTTTGCAATAGCCTTCCTGAAAGATTTCCTCTCGGTTGTCCGATCCTTCGTCTTTCCCAGAAGATATAGCTCTTCCGGCAAAGTGTGGAAGCAGAAGCCATCCGCATATGCTTTTATCGCCGCCAAACGCGACCCCAACAGTCCTGAACCGGCAGATGCCCGACCCTCCCCGTTCCCAGGCATCTTCAGCCGCATCCCACTGCCGGATGCTGCACGCACGGGAATTTGGAAAGCTCGCAGCGCTATCTACTGGCGAGCCCGACTTCGTGTTCATGTCCACCGCCTTGTGCGGGGGGAGATGTGGCTCGATATGCTGGATCTCATTAGCACCGTGGTGGCCTTGCCGGCGATCGGCTACTTTACGTTTGTCACCAAGCCGTGGTGGCTGACCAACTTCTTGGGCTTCAGCTTCTGCTACGGGACCTTGCAGTTCATGTCCCCGACAACGTTCGTGACGGGATCGCTAATCTTGGGGTCTTTGTTCTTCTACGATATTTACTTCGTCTATTTCACACCGCTGATGGTGACCGTCGCCAAGACACTCGACGTACCTATCAAACTTCTCTTTCCCCGGCCCCCCGTCTCGGGCGAAGCTCCGGATACAATCTCATTGGCTATGTTGGGACTGGGCGATATAATCATTCCCGGAATGATGGTGGGGCTGGCCCTGCGCTTTGACTTGTACTTCTACTACAAGCGGAAGGGCTTGCAGAAGGCCCGGGTGGAGGGCAACGGGGTGGAGTTCATTAAGCCGGTCTACCAACCCGCCACGGGCAGCTGGGGAGAGCGGTTCTGGACGTGTGTTGTGGCGCCCAAGAAGCCCGAATTGCAGCCTCCTTATCACGACGCCCGATCTTTTCCCAAGACGTATTTCAAGGCCAGTGTTGTCGGATATTTGGTCGGAATGGTAGCGACGCTGGTGGTCATGCAGATCTTTGATCACCCTCAGCCCGCTCTGTTGTACCTTGTGCCTGGCGTTCTGATCTCTTTGTGGGGCACTGCTTTGGTCAGAAACGAGATTGGCGAGATGTGGGAATTCAGCGAGGAGGACGAGGACGATAATGAGGAGGAAGAGGAAACCGACAACAAGAAGGAACAAAATGAGCACCAGGAGAACCAGGGCTTCTTTTCCCGCATCCTCTCTCTCTACAAGAACACCGACAATGCACCCCGTGAGACGTCTGCAGAAAAACATAAGGAGACGGATGCAGACGATGATGACAAGGAGTCAAGCGCGTCAAGCGCCAAGGAAGAGGAGGTCAAAGATGTCGAGCTATTTACAGTATCCCTCTTCTATCCCCACAAGGCAAAGACACGCAAACAGAAAAGTCCGGCGCTCAGCAGCAAATCAAGTGCGGCAGACGAGGAGAACTGGTCCGTCGTCGGTGCAGAGGGTGACAGCGAGCCTCCGACCAAACGTCGTCGGCGAAGTCCTCGCCACGCAGATGCGAATGGGTCCTGAGGTTGATAGTATCTTTGCGGACTACAAGAGTTGCTTGCATACTATGCAACATCTTAGCTAGTGCTTTGTTGACTGAGCAACCTTGCGATATTCACCACTCCACTAGCCATGAGAAACGAAAAGAAACAAAAAGATCATAGACAGGATGACGGGCGAAATTTGGTATCATTTACTGTAACACTTAGCTATTTACGCGGAGATGTTAGAACAAATAAAGAAGAAGAACCTCAGCACTGCTCCAAGATCTCCTTCACAGCCTCCCATCTATCAGCAGCGATCTCGACCAACTGCTTCAACTCCCTCCCATCCACCGCCCACCCTCCGTTCTTCTCCAGCTTGACAATAACAGTCTTCCCATCCACCTTATCAACAACCACACAGACACGCTCCTGACTCAGCCCCTCCTCATATCCATCCGGATCCGCCAATACCCACCGCCGCAGCATCCCCTTTCTCGCGCTCTCCTCAATCTCTCGCTCTTCCTCCGCATCAGGCACAATCACCGCGCGCCACCCGGCCGCTGCATCCGCCTCAAACACACAGAACGAGCTCGCAACAGGCAATCCACGCAGCGCCAGCCTCCTGGCCTCTGCCACCGCATCTGAGCACACGACCATCTCATTATCGACATCCCACCACGCCCGCGGCAGTTTCGTGTCGCGCAGCGCCGCCAATACCGCCGCCCACGCCGCGTCGAAGGGGTTCCCCGCCAACGAAACGATCATGATATCGATATACAACGCCCAAAACGCCTTGATCTCCCTCTTTCCTTGACCGTGCGTGGTGGTATCATCATCGACATCCATGCCTCCCTCCCCCTGCCCTTGCCCTTTCGTATCTGTCTCACCCAACCTAGGCACCTGATACCACACGCGCAGATCATCCGCCCGCACCAACCGGGTACTATGCAGCAGCGCCAGAATCTGATGCGAGAGGGACTGCGCCAGCGCCGAGGGAGGCGCACCAGGCACGAAACCGGGGGCGCAGCCGGTGCTCAGCGAGAGGTTCGGCACGAGGAGGTTGAAGTCTTGAATCTGGGATTCTTCGGGGTCGATTTCATCGTTGCTGTTGCTGTTGCTGCTGGTCTGACGTTGTTGGGCGTTATTCGCAGCACCAGACCGCGAAACGCTCCACGAGGCAATGTCGCTCGTGGGGAGGAGTTCGGCGCGCACGCCGCACACGGCGGTCGTGTCGCCCACGCGGACCACGGCGCTGCCGTTCGTGTGGGTGAGCGAGCCGGTGTTGGCGGAGGTGGGACGAAACTGCGAGGAGGCGCGGCCGTTGGCGCGGATGGAGGGTTGGTTGCTCGAGGCGGGCGGGGAGAGGTGCGCGAGGAGGTAGGCGTGAGGTTGGAGGCGGGCGAATTGGGAGGGGGGCAGCGTCAGGGCTGGTGGTGGTGCCGCCATCTTCTTTCAATTCGTCTGAGGAGGGGAGGAGGTGTGGCTTTTCTTTGTTGGTGCAATATTATGGTAAATTTGGGAGCAAGGTGTTTTAATCGAGAGGGAAATTGAGCAGGTGTTTGTCTAGTCTTGTCAGCTTGAGTGAAGGAAGTTGGTTGGTCTGTCGATAGAGATTAACTTGAGTTGCATTTTTCGGCGGCAGAATCGGACGGCATATTCCGGGGCGGTGAAGGCGGGAGCTCGAGCTTCCCAGTCTGTTAAGTTAACGGCGACGCTAACCTTGTGGGTACTGTAGGCTCGCGGCTATTGATCATGCATCTAGAATTGATATTATTCCGCTATCGCTATGTTTCGAGGCACATTGTTGCCGGTTTCTTGCGTTCCGACTGTATGCAGTATGTCATTGCCATTTGGTAAATGGCGCTAACCGACAGTAGCAATGACCATGCTGCAACTTGTTCCACTACGAACTATAGATATTCTAAACAATGACCTACTTGTTAGCTCGCCATCCGTACGCTTTTCCATACTAGAAGACGCAGGAATACACGTCAGGTGGCAAGCGCAGGACCAAAAAGGAAACTATTTCCCCGGGCCCAGGACTCGAGCCCAGACCTGCGCTGTGTGCGGATGGGTTTACTCCGAGCGCACCGCCGTGCTAACAGCTACACTACCCCGGGTTTGATTGATAGACGCTAGCTATCTCTCCAACACGTCGCTATTAGCGTAGCGAGGACCTGAATAGTGGGACACAGCGAAGGCATCAGGTGCTAATGCTGGTGGTATGGTTGACCCTGGCTACACCTTCCGTAGAATCGAATTGTAGTAGGCGCATTCCACCATGTCATCTTCCCCTCACAGGACGTCCAAGACGTGAAACAATGCCACCGTCGTTTGTTGGCAAGGACCTTCAGCAAAAGTGTAAGGGTAGAGGAAAGGGATTTCCTGGCCGGTTAGTGGTAAGATTACAATCTAGCGAATTAACGCAGGCGTCGTTCGTGCGGAAAACCGCCAAAAAGCTAAAAGAAAATTACGATGCTGGGATTCGAAGCCAGAGCGCGCCTCCAGCGGACAGCGTGTTCTCCACTTACACCACACCGGCTAGCAATGGACGGTTGTGCTCGAGTCTTGATTGTCTGTTGACCAAGCCCTACAGTGGGTACACTGCGAGAGAGACTCGATCTCTGGCTGGTTATTGTCTTCCGGTATCCATTTGGGATATATCAAAGGCATTGCAAGGACTCTCTTGACTGTCAAGAAAGATGATTGCAAGGGTAAGTAAGATGGGAGAGCGATGGGCGGGAGACAAATCGAGTGACACGGGTAAATATATGGTGCGGGGAAGGAGGGGGAGGAGCTGCTTTATATACATGCGCGCCAGTGGGGCTGCCCCATGCACTCCCGCTCCGCAGAATAATAGGTGGGTTGTCGCACACCAACCTACGGGGTAAGTATGCTGACCGCCTCCCACAGGTTCGCATTCACAGACGCCTTCGTTATAACAATGGGATTACTAGTGTTTAGGTCGCCAGGGTGCTCAGAACAAGGATTTCTGTCAAGAGGTCGACCTACACAGCAGACCAACAAGGTCTACTCTGTAACTACTTTCAAGAAGTGATTATCTTCAAATTGAAAGACTTTCTATGATTCCATTGTTGCGCTTGGCCTGGAGTCTATTGCCCAGAACCTTAAAAGAAAAAAAGTATTACTCTTTGCTGTGCAGCGCTGATCTATAACTATAAGAAACTGATAGAAATGATGATATGTCAAAAAGCACTGCAAAGAAGATGTGGGCTCTATAAAATGCGGAATGCAACCAACAAACAGGGTATCCATGATAGATCGAGAAGAAGATGCTCAAAAATGAGATGCAAAGTCGATACTCAGAGAGGAAGAAGTTCTGAAACCCAAGAAGTAGCGGGCTATCGTTTTGCGTGCTCCTCATCAGCCTTGCGCTTCCTACTCACGCAACCGTCCACTTCGAGAAGCTTTGAATCGGAATCCAGAAGGGGCTGCACGCCATGATCCTCGTGCTCATCTTCTGCCTCAACCTTTTCCCAATCTTCATCGTCCTCTTCGTCAGTAGGCTTGGCCTTCGGGTCAGGAGATGCTGGACTGTACTGGTTCTGGTTGCCCACATGCACGTGCTCGTCATCGTTCCACTGCAGGACAAGCTTGACGATCCTGGCCCCAGAAGGCTTCAGGCGACGGTAGTAATTCTCAACAACACCTTCCTCCAATTGGAAGCCACGCGCAAGGTACCATTTCAGACCGTCTTCATTGGCTTCATGCACGTGGGCTGTGACAGTCCGAATATTGTAGTGTTTCACCAGGTCTGATACTCGAGGTGAGGATTTTGGAGTCGCAGGTGCGGAGCAAGACGGTGGAGCGTAGAGCAACGAATTGAGCAGTGAGGCCGCAACTCCGCAGCCTCGATATGGAGAAAGAAGGTGAAGAGTCTGGATGTACAGGTTGGACGGTTCCTGCTGCTGGGAGTGACGACGTGCCTGCAGGTTTCCCGCACTGGTGGAAGGTAGTCGCTCAAGGCGACAGCGAATCCCACCAATGACTTTGTCAGTGCCGGTTGTTGGCGCCTTGAGATTGGTTAATGAAGATGGTGAGGCGGATGCGGGTGCTGCGGCCACCGGGTGATCATGGTAAATGGCCACGCGGGATAGTGACGCGATCACGGGGTCGGTAATCGTGGCGGTGTAGAATGAGTTTGGGTAGCGGATGGGCAGCAGCAACCCCGTGATTCGAGTTAAAGAGGGTATGTGAGCGGTGCTCACGACTTCAATCGTTACATGCGGGTGCGGAGTCGGGTGGCCTGATGCGATGCGTTGGGGATACGCGGTCGGCTCGAAAGGCTCGTGATTGGATGAAGGGGGCTGCATTTTGGCGGGCAACTTGACTGAGAATAGATTCGAAGCGTTGGGAGACAACCTATTTGCTTGATATACCGGTTGCCGAGTAAGTGTACTGTTGGATGCGAATGTCGACGTCGGAGTCTGAGGGGCAGACAAAGGTGGAGAGGTAGGCGCTTTAGATTGATGCGCCTTTGCGAAGAATTGGTATGCCATGGCTCGTAGAGAATGAGTTGCGACAAGCAGGATATTTTGAGAGACCGGAAGCAAGTTCCGTTGGGAAAGCACAGGGTTATATCGTCCAGCAGAGTGCAAACAAAATGAGCAGAAGCAAACGAGGGGCAAGACGCCAGAAGAGGGGGAAAGACGCGACACAAGCGATGGACGAGGAAAACGCGGAGATGCGATAAGATAAGATCTGGCGGTCGGACCGGACTGAAAGAGGCAAAGCCCAGCGCCGAAAGAGCCTCTCTCCTCCACGGCCTGCTCCCCAGACTGAGGATCGTCCCCTGGTGTTGGCCTGTCGTTTGCTCTTTGGGCCTTCTTCGTTCTCATCTCCTACTGGACTGAATTCTCCCTTATATATATGATTGTTCACTCGAGTATCGAGGTAAGTGAACCCTTCGTGTTGGCATAACGAGCGTAGCGCGCAGTCCGCTGATTCTCCCTACCGTACGCAGGCAGTTTCCAGCCCACGTTTCAATAGACGCCCCTTATCATCGACAAACAAATGGACCACACCTTCTGTTGTTTTCGCGTGTTACTCGCTTGAATCGACTATTATCGTTATAGCCCCACGTTTCTTAAAGCCTTTGTCAGACCGGACCAACACCCACTGAACTGTCTATTACGACATCATCTCAACCAATCCGCATCCGTCGGCGACAGGGAACTCCGAATCGAAATCTGCTCAAGCAACACCCCAAATTGCATAAATCTCTGGCATCGAGATTCTTGTCAATACTCAACTTATACGAAGACAATTTTGGTACTGGTATCTTGGGAGGAATTCAATTGCAGACTTGGAGCAGGACATCTTGGTAGAAAGGTACGTTGGATTGTCGCTTTCGCATGGCAGCCATATTTTAAGCGCCATAAGAGAATTGCTGTTTTGACAGCAACCTTGTGCGCTACCTGTGCCAATGGGCGCATCTATGACGGTCACGGCTGCCCTTGTTTTTGGCGTTGTTGTCGCGTGTGGTTTACTTCATGAAGGTATGCGCTGTCTAACATTCAGCACTTCAGGACAGACAATTTACAACAATGGGCGAGTCAAACGGCACCGAAGAACGGAGAGCTACTTTCCCTGCAGGTACAATAGCGAAATTGGTAAGAATCCCAACAATAACCCTTACTGGGGCGAACCCGTCGAAGTTTACTCGCGCTTCTTTGTCATACAGAGCGCTAATACAGTACAGACATGCGACATACTGAATGACACCTTCTACAATATCATTCATGATATAGTCGCAAAAGTCCATCGCGATGAGAAGGTGTCGCGCATGCGTTCAGCGGTCGTTGCTGCCAGGCAGAAAGCAGACGAGGAAGCGAACAGGCGTCGTGAAGAAAGCGGAAAACCGGCTAGCGCCTTTAAGCCTGGCGATCTTGATTTCGAGGAACTCAGGGACATCCGCGTGGAGACTGACGGAGCCATCTTCGATGAGGGCAAGGTCTACTTGAAAGGAAATCCTCTGCAGACTACTAAGGAGATCATCTGTCCGGACTGCCGGCTGCCTCGCCTTTTGTACCCCGTAACAGGTATTGGAGCGCGTGCCCCTCCCGACCCGTACCGCGAATACTGTCAGAAGCAACCGACTATCACGAAGCCCGGACACGACGTTCACGGAAACCCCTTCGTTACGGACAAGGTCAAACCTCAGAAAAAGAAACAAGCCATTACCTCGAATACGCCCGGATCGAGCCCACCCACGACCCCAGACGGCTCTTTCAAGCAGGCTGCGCCAGAGAGGATCTCGTTCCCGACCGTGAAGTGCCCGAACTGTCCCAGATACTTTGTTGTAACTCGAGTGGCGCAGCATCTAGACCGCTGCTTGGGTATCTCCGGCCGACCACTCGGTGGCCGCAACAAGACTCCCATGGAGAACGGCAGCGCAACTAGCAGCAACCCCAGCTCCGCTCCACCAAAGCGCCCCTTGGTCGACGAGGATGGCCCGCCAACCATGAACAAGAAGAAAAAACTTGGTGCCCCGAAAAAGCTGACGGGGAAGAAACCCACGCCTCCCAGCAGCAAGCTCAAGAACGGGTTAACACCGGACATGGCCGCAGCAAATGATGCATTCGGTGAACCCGATATCAAAAGTGAAGTCAACGGGGACAACTCATGAGAGAAGAAAGACGCAATCTGCTCTTATCCTTGACCCCTCTTGTTCCTCCTTCTTCCTTACCACTTAATACCTCCCTTCACCTCTTTTTCTCCTCCCTTTCCTTCTTTCTCTTCTGCATCATTGGCAGACACAGCTGGAAACTCCTCTGCATCGAAAAAAAAACAGGAGGCCATTGGACATAAGTTTCATTTACTGCCATGACGAAACTCTTTCACATTTCTGACGTAAATACCCGGCATCGAAGGCGTCAACAGGCGGGCAAGGGTGGAAAGATCCAACTGCAGGACCATCCACATCAAGCGTACCCCAGGTTTGCAAGAAATAAAAGTTTCTGGGACATGAATCGGCGCTGCCTTGTACTACTTTTTTATCCTCTTTCTTTGTCTTTCCGATGCTTTTGAGAATTACTGGGGTCGCTCGCATATTCGTTCTGCTCTGTCGAGTTTTGTCCAGGGATAGATGCTTATCACTAATTGTCATCGCAAACGTTGTATGTTCAACAACTGAATCTGGCTCTTCGTGGCCGGGTTAGCCTAGCTCTGGGAGGACTTTGTCTCCCTACATATTGAATTGGGATAGGTATTTGCTTTGCTCCCTGCTTCTTCCTTCTCTCTCTGGAGGAAACTAGATCGCTGGAGCTAAACCTCTCGGGGTATGGAAGTATACGAAGCTGCCTGTGCACGTGCCCGGCAGATGAAAGTCGATGATGGCCCTGCTTCACTTGACACAGTTGACAAGCGCGAAATGACGAATCGACACTGGCCGTTTGATGATAACAACGAGAGAGACGAGTAGCGCGACCCTCTTTCCGTTGCTGACCTGCTGCAGCCAGGCAGGGAGGGTCATTTGACATTGGATTTCGGCTGTCAAGCATGCAGGAATTCAGAACCTTGAATATAATCGCTAGAAAACACGAGAACCTGGTAGCACTGTCCCTGCCCCTGTTGTGCCATTAGATGGTGTTGTGGCAGACTTGGGGTACCGGCCGACGACTGGGCTCCAAGTTCCAGGTGCCATTGCTGATTGTCCGCAGCTAGCATTGTCAGATGCCACGGTGTGTAACCAGAGCTGTAAGCTGCAGGTAGCTCTTACCTTCTTTTGTGTACGACAGAACAGACCTCAATAAATTAAGTCTATCTCAGTCACGAGAGTATCTAATAGCAACTAGCTTTGAATCTAAATAATAGATTAGTATGTACATTGTGTCCTATAGTCGGTGTAGCGGTGATCTGGCCATGGGATAACAACTTGCGGCTTCTTTCTGCAGTTATGTCACTTAGTTCGAGTCATCATAACACTCTTGGGTGTTAAGAAATCGTTCCAAGCAGCCGTTCCGTGAGCTATCAAGATACCCACAATTATACTACTTTTATAAGTATTAGTTAGTTTCAAAGGTGAAATATGATTGAACTACTTTCTGGTATATGAAACTACTAGATTAGTGTACAGATTAGTTTCTATACTTATAGCTGAAGCAGATGTTCTCAGTAAGGACTTATGAACAATTAATGAGAATTCGTGGCTAGGATAACTCTCTCCTCCCCAACACAACAACTCGGCTTGAATCAATCAATGCATAACAACAGCTACATGATCGTTCATATACTGCCGCACATCCCCCAGGAAACAGGACGCCAGAATGGCCACCCCGCCAAACCCGATGCTGGCATAGTACACCCACTTGTAGCTCTCAGCGAACGCCATCTGGCCGGCCGTGACGACCGCCTCGTACGCTGCAGGGTTGCCGGTGATGCCGGGAATGGCATAGAGGTCTTCGAGGAGCGAGGCACCCGTCAGCTGGATCGCCTCGGCGATGTATTGCGGGTTAGTGATGTTGAGCTGCGTGGCCATGACGCCGCCGATGTAGTGCTCGGCGTTGGGGACAAACTTGGAGATGAAGATGTTGTAGTAGATTGTATAGCCGATGCCGCCGCCGACGACGCGGATGGAGAGGGTTAAGGCGGAAATAGTGGCAATGAGGTCCTGAGCGGATTGAGTGTTAGTTTGGAATTGGTGTTAGAAAAGTGATGATCTCTGTGGGGATGAAGAGATTGTTCACGGGACTGTGGGGGGAGAAAGGTAGACTAGAGACGAGGACGGTTTATGATATACGTACATCTGGACATATGATGGTTGTCATGATAGATGCTGGGACGACAATGCCCCCGATACCTAAGCCTGCAAGGACAAGAATACCCCATAGCTGGTAGAGGTTGTCCAGTCGGCCGATTGAGAGGGCGCCGCAGCCTGTTGAAAATTAGCATACATAAGATCGCATCATCTTGACAAATACGTATTTGACTGACCTGCTGTCATGAGAACGCTGCTCAAAATCAAAAGCTCCTTATTGTGACCGCGGAGAACACTCAGCAGCCATAGGACGATGCATGCACCAAAGAGGATGGCGAAGCCGATTGGAATACTGCGGACACCCACATCGACAGGGTCATGACCGTAGACGTTGAATGACTGCGTCGGCCAGAACATGAGGACAGAGAAGAAGTTCGCCCCGGAGATGAAGGTAATGACCAATGTTAGACCCAGGGTCCAGGGTTCTTGTTTCAAGCGGCTGGGGAAGATGGGGTATTTGGCGCCGTAGACTTCCCAGAAGGCAAAGAGGACGAGGAGGACAAAGCCAAGGATCAACGGGACGAGCACATGAGCTGTTGTCCAACTGTACTGTGGACGTAGAGACGAGGTTTAGCAAGGAACGTCTGCTGGAGATGTTGTGCTGCGCTTACCATGTAACCGCCCCATTGTAAGCCAGCCAAGAAGATGATGAGACCGGAAATGCTGAGGAATCCACCGACAAAGTCAATGCGACGGGCAACTTCTGCCTTGCTCAATCCTTCAGAGTTCACTCGAGGTGGTGGGAAATAGAAGAGTGCGGTGGCCAGCAGCCCAAATCCATTCCATGCCCCGCAAAATGCGCCCACGTATCGCCAGCTGCTGTGTGCTGCAATGAGTTGTGCCCATAGAACCGAGGGGCAGAACGGCAAAATGGTAAAGATTAATACCGCAACATATTTGCCCCTCTGACGCGTGGGTGCCATTTCTGAGGTTGCCGCCAGCGCCGTCAGTTCGTTCACGCCTGCTCCGGCTCCTGCAATTGCCATCCCGGCTTGAAGGGTATCAGACAGGTCCCCACAGTTCGAAAAGTGGTGATTTCAAGTGAACGCACCAATAAATATATTCATCGTATTGGCTGTACTACTGACAATCATACCGATGCAGATGAGCGAAGCACCGATGAGAGCAACATATCGACGGCCGATTAAATCGGACAGCGATCCAACAAAGGGACAGACGCCTGCGAGAGCAAGAAGATTGGCCAGGACCTGCGCTATGTTAGCTTGTTGGCGCACAATCCCTACAGGTGGCTGAAATTAGCCATACAAACCAAACCCATCTATCGGCACCCCCAATCTCTCTGTAGATGTAGGGTGGAATACCTCCTGTCAAGGTATTAGACTCCTGACTTCACGCTGAGATTGGATCCTACCAAATAAATAGACTGGGATTTGGCTCCCAGTCCACAAGAAGGCCATCGCAGTGAACCCCATGAACCGACGAAAGGTCATCTGAATTTAACAAGAGGTCAGAGGTCCTTCACGTTCAACCATTTCCATGGTGTACGCACTGGAACCTTCACTTCGCCTTCCAGATCCTGCTCATTTGAGCTCCGTCCAACCACCTCCCGGTGGCTAACATCGCTTGCTAGGTTATCATTGTAAGACGGATGGGCTGCTGCTTTTTCATCATCCGAGGCTCGGATGCGCGGGACTGTGACGTCCATGGCGCCTGAAGGAGATGGAGACTGACGATGACGGAGTTGGCGAGGACTAGTAGCGGCAATGCAGATCCGAAGAGATAATAAGGAGCACCCAGGCCTTTCAACCCAGGGGAAGCCGGGAACTTATATAGATTCTCGCGGCAGCCTGCATTGAACAGCACACAGCATCGGGCCTGGACCTTGAGCTTCCGAGGCTGAAGATAACGCAAGTGGCCGCCGTCATGACTTCTGGCCCGCACTTTGGGAGGGGAGGAGGACAGACGGAGATGCTACCCCTTTGGGTGCTTTGAGTGACAACCGAGGATGTTGTGGGAGGATTGCGGTGGAGCTAAATGTCAATACGGAGGGACCGGTTGGCTCCCACTGGTTTTTGGCTTCCCCAGAAAATAATGCGGGGGGGAGGGGAGGCGAAATCGCGGGGAGCAAAAAACGGGAAATGGAGCCTTGCGGGGAATCGAGGCATTTCTCCTCCCCGCTTCAAAGAAAGCTTACTCGCCCACACCAGAACGAGACATGCTTGTCTGGTGGTACCGACTCCTTGAGCACAACCTCTGCGGTCAACCAGCTTCATCATCATGGTACCCTCTCGTGTACGCAATCCTGGACCGGAAATCCTGCCGAGGCACTCAGTGCGTAAACTGGATATGTACATCCACATTTATTCTAGTCTGTAGCACTAACCCCGTGACATCCTCCGGCTACTTTCCCCATTCCAGCCATCATGTTACCATCGTATCCGGATGTCTCTTCTTGCCGCTGACTATGCTAGAAGCGCTCCCCAACTTCACGAAGCTGGTACTTCTTAGGAACGACAAACAGTGCGCTGGCCTCGACGCACAACTTCCCAACCATATCACGAACTTCACCACGAACATAGGCTTTGCGCTCCGTACTCCTCTCCTGATCCAGTGTGGCATGGAAGGTATAAAACTTGTTTGAAAGGACCGGTGCCCGGTACTGGAGCTCGAGATTTGCTGTGACTCCGGTACGTTGAGGAAGATTCCGGATTGCGACCCGGCCGAGATGCTCATCAATGACCGTTCCGAGGGCGCCTCCATGGACCATGGTCGGCCAGCCTTCCAAACCTTGCCCTAGGTATGCGACATTGACAGCAGTTTTCTCCTTATCATTGTAGAAGGTCCTCTGTACTCAAGTTATCAGTACAAACATGGTTCCACGGGCCGGATTCCAAAAAGCCAGAGAGCGCTCAGATGAACCGCTGCGCTTCGAGCGACGCTCTCTAACGGCTCATCGTCCGCCTGGCTATAGCTGAAGGCATAGTGCAGAAGAGAGGGTCGAGATATCTCGCAACGCTTAACCAGGGGCATGGACAACCATGCCAGGCAACACGTACCTGAAACGCTATTCCCCTACTCCCTTGCAGTGGACCAGATGTCAGTCTCTGCATCTTGTCCTCCTCTGAGAAATTCCCGTAGACTTCGGCCTCCTCATAGTCTGGGTCTGCTCGCAACCTCTGCACAATCGGCAGCGTATGTTCAAACTGTCTCTCGATTTTCTCGAGTCGCGCCTGATCCTGCAATGTACCCGGGGCCACGGGCATTTCGAGAAGCTCACCCATCAATCCCCTCGTGAAAAAGTCTCCACAGAGAAAGAAGACCGACCCCCAGAACAAGCGACGGCCCCATCGAGACTCCGAAGCTCGCTGCAATCGCGACCACATAGACTCAGATTGCGAAGAGGCAGTATTCAGAGTCCTAGTGTTTGCACGCGCATAGCGTGCTACTGATCGCGACGAGCCTGGAAAGTGGGGCAGTCGCGACTGCAATACTCTTTGAAGACAAAACATACTGAGTAGCGCTGGTGTCGCGATGAAGTGCGTTGCTTGGGATCTCGTCTTTAACTAAGCTCATGCGGAGGATTGGTGATTAGATAAGAGTCGTCTCGGTATATCAATCACGTGACTCGTGACTCGATCTAGATTCACCGAGAGGGATACCTAATTACTGTACCAACCACACATGCTCTTGTCGTTGTATCACTTGGTTACAGATTCCATGACAAATGAAGACTATAGAAGACTAAAGAGGACAGTTTCCGCTAAGCATTACTGTCGTCGGGCAAAATACCGGGTCCAATGTGTTCATTGAGAAGTAATATACCCTGCTCTGGTGAGCAGGCAAGCTAATAGTCAAATCAATTCATCATCTATGGAAGTGTAGTGGTCGCATCAATCATAATTATCCTGTTGCGGAGATGCTGCTCATTTCTCAGTAGGCAGCTCGACCGCCCGGTATAGGAGGATCAGGGCAGAGTGAGATTCACCTGGAAATCTTTGTCAGAGAATCACTTTTGAGGTAGCGTAGCTGTATCAGAGGTAGAACTTACCACCGCCAGCGAGGGTCTCAATCTTCTCTCCATCCACTTCAGTTACCTTTTCATCATTGAACCACCACCACTTGCCTTCAGCACTGCCAGGGTTTTCCTTGTCCTGTTTCTTCACATACGCGGTATAATGACCACTATCAGCGCTGGCACCCTGGTGGGTAATCACGCCGCGGAGCTCGTAGAGACCAGTAGTGTTGGCTCCAGCATCAGCTGCGAGCTTCTGGTCAATCAGTGCGGAGAGTTCCTTTTTGGCAGCAAGGATTGAAGCGGTCTTTTCAGCCTCATATTCGGCATCGGTCTTGTATACATCGGTCATGGCTTCATCCTTGTCCTCCTTGCGCTCTTCGGCTGCTTTCTTCTTCTGCATGGGCTCCATGCTCGATGATTCAGCTTCTTCATTCTTACCATCTTCCTGGCGATGAGCGAGCTTCTGGCGCTTGCGAGCCCGCTCAACGTCCACCTCTTCCTTTCGGATCTCTCGAACCTTGTCCCTGATGGGGATAAGCTGCTTCTTCAACTCTTCGGTGCAGAAATCAACCACATCAAGCTCGTGAGGGAAAGTGACTTTTCGCATGATTTTGGCCTTCTTCTGAGTTTCGCGCTTCCAGAAGAATCGAACGAAATGCACCGTGAGATATTTGGGCAAGCGAGCTATGCGGGAGCGCTTTGTGTAAATGGCATCGCGGTCCAGAGTAGGGGAGTGCTTCTCGATCTTTTCTTCGAGGCCGGCCATTATACCGTCGCTCAGATGGTTCGTTTCCTTGCCGATGTGGCAGTCGAGCTTGTAGAACACATCCGTGCTCTCTGTAGGCTTCTCACCAACTTCCTTGGCCGCAGCGTCGTCACATTCTGTCACAGACTCGAATCGTCCAGCAAGATATCTATCCACGAATGACACCTCCTTTGCAGACTCCCCCTCGCCTTCTTTGATGACCAGCTTGTTCCTGAGCTGTGTCACAATTTGGGACCAAGCCTCCTCAGCATCCTGTTGGGCATATCCATGTCCGTTCCGGTCTCTTTGAGCAAACTGGGGATAAGCATTTCTCAAGGCATTGAGGAACATGAGAGGCGGGAAGCCCTCCTGTGTCTCTGACATCTGTTTGAATAAATCCCGAAGAGAAGCAGTAAGATCCGTCGAAGCACCTATTCCTTCTAGACCGAGGCTACTGAGACCTGCGAGATTGGTGCCCCCGCTAGAGCCTGCAGTCGGACGGTATCTTTGCAGTTCCTCTTGGAGCTCGGGAACGCCCCTCAGAGCCTGTAGGGTAGAATTGAGGTAGCAAGTATTACCCAAGTTCTGAAGACCAGCAGGGAATGCTCCCTCTGCCTTAGCAGCCTCTGCTTCCGTCATATCTTCCAAGAATCTCATTACTTCCTTAGGTCGGCCCAAATCCGCAGCGCCTTGATTACCGGATGGCGTTCCCATCATCATGAAGGTCTGCCCTGGCTTGGCGTTGAGGGAGGACAATGGAGTCTCATCCTTGAGCTGACCACCCTTAACCAAAATCTTCTGTCGTTCAGGTTCGACACCGGTGAGGGAGAATAGCTGGTACTTGAGCGTCTCGCCGTTTAGGGAGGGATCGAGCTCAACTTCGTGGCGTTTGCCCTGGTGCTTAATAATAACTGCTATAGCTTTAGCGGCAGAACGAGCGACTCAGGGTTCGAGCATACTCTCAGAGAAATCACCACATACCTGGTATGGAAGCCATATTTACCTGCTTTGATGGAGTTTTGGATGCAACAATTGATGAATTCCAAGCTCTGACGGGCAATGATGAGGCGATGAACGATGACTGCGTCAGTTAACTCCGCGGCGGCGGTGGGGTAGGCGGTGAGGCCAATGGACATCAGGCTGCATCACCGCCCTGCGGGGACCGCCCCCCTCCTGAGTGTTGAGTAGGTAGCATCATCACTGGCCTCCTTTAGCGGAGCGAACAACAACCTGCGGTTTTAGTCCTTCTGAAGCGCCAGCCTCTTTCTTTCTCGGCACTCCGATACTCGCAAGTTGTGGGGTCATATCTTCTCTATTAGCTTGTCACTTAATCCGCATTGAAGCTACGTCACAATGGTAAGCACTACATCCCGAGTACTTCATTCTAGGTACTGCGCTCTGTCTACGTCGAAGATCTGACTTGCCTCATGATAGAGCACGAGTCTCCGGCCGTACCTTCAATGCGTGCGATCTTCGCTCTCTGCAGCGCTAGCCATCTCCAACTTCGCCAGTCAAACTTCGGAAAGACACAATGTGCCTGAGATCGAGGCAGCAAGCTCTCCTGAGCTCTTGCTCAACCCATTGGTCATATCTCGGAACTCTGTATGTTCAATCACTCAGTCAACCATTCATGCTACATTGATTTAAGCTGATATTTGTTGTCAATCAGGACGAACGGACTTTCATTGAACCTTCGGTCAACTCCGTGCGCGTGTCCCTCAAAGTCAAACAAGCCGATGAAATCGAACATATCCTAGTGCACAAGTTCGCGAGATTCTTGACGCAGCGCGCAGATGCGTTCCTGATTCTCCGTAGAAAGCCGGTGGAAGGCTACGATATCTCCTTCCTGATCACCAACTTTCATACCGAGGCTATGCTGAAGCACAAGATTGTGGATTTTGTGATTGAATTCATGGAGGAGGTGGACAAGGAGATTTCGGAGATGAAGCTCTTCGTAAGTCTTGGACTTCAATGACCACAAGTGAACATCCCGCTAATGAATCGCAGTTGAACGCCCGTGCTCGATTCGTGGCTGAGTCGTTCTTGACCCCAGTAAGCCCCCAGACAAACCAGTTTGACGGGTGACAGCTAACAAACTACTAACAGTTCGACTAAATATATGCTTCGATGCCACTTTTTTTACTCTAAATAAATCAGGTTTCCTTTCCCAGGAGCAATCATTGTACAGGCGATCTGGGCTGGCGCTGGGAAATCGCTGTGTTTGTTCTAAGCTTGTTCCTTTTACAAATCTTCAGATGTCATTCCATCCTGACTTGTGCACATGTCTCATATATACAGATCTCCAGCTATTCCAGTATACTTTGTCTCACAGATGTAGAAACAAGACACTGAGTGCGCGTCGCATAGGTACAGTACATGAGTCGCCGCATTTCCAACACGCATCTCCGTGAGCTGCTCGCTCTCTTGCTTCAGATACTCCTGACTTGTGGCTATACGGATGGCCGATTGTGAATGTGTGGCCTGCTAGGACTAGTGAATATTCCATTTCATGGTCATGCGACCCCGCTATCATAATAGTTCCAGCGTATCATGATGATATTGCTGCGGTAAGTGTCAATGAGTAGCTCGAGATATTATGGGTTTCGAGTCCGGGAACCATCCAGTTGTGGATGTCACTGGAATGAGGCTCCATGAAGCCGTCAAGTCGCATTCCCGTTCAGATCATCTTCTGAATAGCCTCAATCTCTACCTCTTGCTCTGCCCACCCTTTGTGCCTTTCGTGTTCGCATGTAACTCGGGTCACTTTCAGCATCTAAAAAAGTATTATTGACACAAAGTGCATCCTGGTAACTCTCATCTTGCAGACAGTAACACGTAAGTGATCATTATCTCGGCTCTATTGCAGTGAATTGGCAGTGAATTGAGAGGTGGCTGCGCAACTTAGTGGTATGAGTCTTGACTAATTTAAGGTGACTCCATCAAATACCGGACTGAATCCAATTCTTTATATATCATCTCCTCTATTCCACCCTCCTGATCATTTTATCGTTTCTGAACATCCAGAGTTCAACCTCAACTGCTCAAGATGGCACGACCTGGCCACCCAAGCCCTCCTACCACCCCAAATCGCCACTACAGTCTGGATATGGATTCGTCTAGCGAGTTCTTCTCCCCGGGCTCAAGCTACCAGCAGCTCTCGGCCGACTTCAGGGATGAACCAGCTTTTGACTCGCGGGCTGCCTGCAGAGACTCCTTGAGTACTAGGATGGCTAGTTTGTCTCTGACCCCATGCTCTTCGGACTCGCCCACTCCAGTTCCTCCAGGTCATAGTCGTTTCCAGCATGAACTGACTGTTTCATCCTTATCCAACCGTCACCGTCGTAATTCCTCTATAGTCGTGGGGAACCATATAGATGAGACTCGCAATATTCTCGGAGCCCTTGCTAAAGGTGGTCTGCCAGACGAGATGCCAATCGGTAGTCTCGCTCTTCTGCAACAGCCACCGACGGCAGGTGTGATGAAGATTTCAAATGTAAGTGGACATACATGCTCTCAACATAACACTTCTAAAGCGGGATAGATCCCCTACTCGATCACGAAGCAGGAGATGCTGCAGTTCGCAGGACGTCAGTCTCGTCTGAGCCCCGGTCAAGCCATTCACATAATAATGGAGCGCTCAACTGCCAAGACAATGGACTGTTATGTGGAATTCGCGACACCAGAGGATGCTAGAGAGACCGTCAAGAGGATTGATCGTATTCAAGAAACTGGTCGTCCTCCTCGCTTGGGGTGTAGGCACGTTGATGTCGAACTGAGTTCCCAGGATGCTCTGTTGCACGATCTGTTCCCTCGCGCTAAGTGTGTTCACTGGCAGGAAGGCATGCCCACAGTAATTCAAAACACCGACCCCTATTCGACAGGCTTTGCTGGCTTCTTCACCAGCGAAGAGATTATCGGTGCTATCCGCCATGCTGAGATGCCACACAGAGTAAGTGAATCCTAGCCAACCTCACTAATCGCGAAGCGTGACAATTATTAGTCGCCTTTCAGTACCAAGTGCCCTCAACGTACTTATGAGTCGACCATCAGTACTCTCAGTAAGGTCAGTAAGTCTTTCTGAGCCGCTATATAACCTACTTACACTAATCACCTAGTTTCCTTGGTATGCCGTTGATCTCTACACGGTTCATGATCGTAATTTGCTCTTTGATCTGGTCAATCGCCAAATCATTGCTCTACTTGCTCGCATGAAGAAGATCAATACGGTTGGCTTGGATCAACGCCTGCTCAACGACCTTCTTCGTGCAGGGCTTGAGTGTCCGGGGTTCAATGAACGTCAGAGATTCACTTTATGTGTCAACGCAGAGAGCTTCACCGAGCTTGACAAGCTGTCCGATCTCAGTAAATGGTTCCCCTTCGATACATTGGCTAAGATGCCTAACCTCGACGAGCACACTTACAAGGTATGACTCCCTCAGCTTTCTTTTCCCCATCACACCTTATCCCCTTCTTCGCATTTCATGCTCTGATCCTCGAAACTAGTTTCTTGTCGATTTGATCTCCAAGGGCTCAGCTCCGGCAGTGTCTTCCCCAGAGCTGCCTAACAACTTCCCCATGAACAACGTCAATCTCATCTCGCCATTTGGTCCGATCTGGTTCGAATGGCCTGAGGAGGCCGCTAAGCAAACGTCTTGGCAGGATGCGGTCAGACATGAAACCAACATCCTGTTCAGTCTTCTATCTAGCGGCTCAAGAAACTCTAATGGAAGGAAACTGTCTTCTGGAAGCTACAGCACCATGAGCAGCGTCGTATCACCTGGTACCGGTAGTCTCTCCCAGTTCGACGTTTTCTCGCCTCCGCGTCGGGCCAGTAACTCGTGGCACATGCGCGCTTACTCCTACAGTGGCATGAAACAAGACCCTTTGAACTCCAAGCTGCTTTTCGCACCCAGTAGCCCAAGCCGTGGCAGACTGCCTGGACATCGTTTCACTAGATCTTCCCCAGTGAACTACCCGGTCTTTGATGATGATGAAGATTGAACTTCACAGATCCGACATCGAAGTCTTAAAGGTAGAGGCAGGCTTCATCATCACACATCGATCGCCATGATCTGACCTACACCTCTTCAATTTCTTTCCTGGAATAACTGTTGCACATATTAGGTCTGGTTATACGTATTTTGCGGTACTCAAATTGGACCGTGCATGATAATCGTTGAAATGTTTACCTCTTTTCGTTCTTAGCCATATTTCCTGGTCCACCTCCTCTATCGTTTGCTTTTCTTGTTCTTTTGTCTCAGTGCTTGACTCTGATATCGTATTGCTCAATACCCCATGCACAAATCCCAGAACATCCTTTCATGAAACTGCTATCAGTTCAGAGCACATGCTACGCGGGTACTCTGCCTTGAAGCGATGAATGTAATGTTCTCGTTGTTTTCGAATTGTTTTTCATCATTCTAGAGCGCAAAGCCTTAATATTTGAATCATGGCCCGAAATCCAGTTTGCTTTTTGATTTTCGTTTGCTTTTGTTTTGTTTGCTTTTGTTTTGTTTGCTTTTAAGATACCGTACTCTCAAACAGCCCCAGAATTGAACTCCAATGAATAGTCGAAATCGCTAACCGTAGCAGCCTCTTCTTCACCCACCCTCTGCTCGCTCTTCTGTTCCTGCTGCTGCTCTTCCTTCTTCCGTAAGCCCTCCGCCCGCATCCTCTCCCTGCGCGCTGCAGGATCCTCCCAGCCCACGGGCTTCGCTTTCCCCCTAGCCTTAGTACCAGCCCCCGAGGTGTGAATCGTAGCACACATCTCAACCAGACTCGCGCGGAAGCGTTCCTTGCGTTCTGAGTTGACGACGAACCGTTCGTTTGAAATGGCGACTAACATCGCCAGGTATTCCTCGGTGACCAGGCTGCGAATGATGGGTTCGTTGTGGGAATCGCCGCGCTGCCCCTCTTCCTCCTCGTCGTGGTCACCATCGTCATCATTCTCTTCACAGTACCCGATGACCGATTCCAGAGCCATACCGGCTGAGCGGACGGCAACTATAGGGCTGGGACCGTCGGCTTCGTCCGCGTCTAGGCAGCGCAAACTCTGGAGGCCGCTTTCGCGAAAACCGGAGCTGGAGGCGGCGGAGAGGACAGGGTTAGCATGGTGGAGGGTTGCGGCCATGATGTGGAGGATCTGGAAGGGAGTTTGTTAGTTTGTGGTGGTGGTGGTGGTGGTTGCTTGCTTGCTTGCTGCTTTGTAGAAGTATTGAGAAAATAAGCTGATTCTTGAGAGGGTAACGTGACTGAGGCTACCCAGAGCGCCAGCGGCGGAGGGAGAGGCTGATGTGTATGAAGGACACACCATGCTATTACCGGAAGGAGCAGAAACGGGGTGTTCAGGAAAAGAGAACATACCATCGGCTCATAGGAGAAGCGCACGAGACGCGGAGCTTGGCCATTCTCGGTCAATTTGGGCGGTTTACCATCCCCAGGAATCATTCCGAACAGACGGTGCAGCGGCTTGTTGTTGTCGTTGTCTTCCTCCCCACCTTGCTGGGCTCCATACTCCTGCAATGGGTCATGGGAGACATACAGCCATTTTCCCGCTCCCTTCCCCCCTGAAGGTACGAACTGTCTCTGTTGAACTTCTAACGTTGACGGTTGCTGTTGCTGACGCTGCTTCTTCCTCCCCTCTAGGAAGACACTGATTCTGCCTGCACAACTGCTAGTTGTCACCAGTCCGGGTAGAGTGTTGATGTTACCGATCAGCTCCCGGATACCTTCGTCTACCGACCCCTTCGGTGACAGATCGGTATACTCTGCATCTGGGATGGATAATTCCGCAAGAATCTTGCCTTTGCGAAGCTTGAAGGCTTCGGGGACTGGGTAGGATTGGAAACCACTCATGACCTGAGGAGGGCCTTTCGCCTGCACTTGATGATCTCGCCTTACTGTGGTATACTGGACCCTCAGGATTTCCAAAGTCCTAACTTGGCTGGCAACAACCGGCTATCTAGGGCGGGGCAAGTCTGATTGCTGTTCCTTCTTCCTTCTTGATCTTAACCAACTTTCACCGCTGACAAGGATGATCAATAGGATATTTAGTTACTGCAAACCCCACGGCCGAGAACAGTCGAGAAAGACAACTGCGCAAATATGGAATTATACTGGGATGTCACATCAAATTGCACATCCGGGGTCTTCTCGAAAGGGCAGAGGGAAAAAAGCGCGAAAAAAAAAAAAGAAAAAAAAAAAAAGAGCCTGACGTCGACTCGCCGAGCGGCGGCGGCGGCGCTAAGGATAGTTTAGCGGAGCGGGAAGCAAATTGAAACGGAACTCGCCGCCTTTTCCCACGCGAAATTGGCCCCAGAAGTTACCAGCCTCTTGGTCTCGTTAACTTATCTTATTCCTGGTCGAAGTCCCTTGTTGTTGTCCGCTCGAACCGCTGGAAAGTCCATCTGTCGCTAACGGCGGAGGGTCTCCGACGCTCCGTGCCGGCATATCACTGACTCCCCCCTCCCTTCCCCAGCCCATAAGCAGGCCCTGTCTATCGACCCTCCCAGCGTCATCATCGGATTTTCCTCCTCCGCGGAATTTGCCATCTCGCCCGCGAATCCCTCTCTCCCGCCCACGTAGTGAACTTATAGCTCCCAAGGAAGATACTCTTATCATACCATACCTTAAGCACCACATTCGTCTTTTCACGACAAATAGCTTGCAGAGCTCTGGTCCATAGCCATGCCTCGTCGATCGTCTCGGCCCGTTCCCGCGGCAGCCGCAGCTCCAGATGCCGCCCCAAAGAGGCGCATGTCCGCCAGGCTCTCCGAAGCATCCAGCACGGAGCTCAAGAGACAAAAGTACGACACCACCTCTGCTCACAGTGCTCAGAAGCCAATTAAATCCACCACGAAAAAGAGCAAATATTTTCAGGACGAGCCGTCACAAGAACCGGAGCTCGAATCCAAAAAGGCAGCTGCGCCGACAATCCCCGACTACGAGGACACCGACATAAGTGTCCCCACCTCTTCTGACTCCGGCTCGGATTTTGCTGAAGAAGCATCTCCATCATCCTCAAGCGCTGACGAGGATGGATCTGAAGAAGAAGAGTATAGCCCTGAGCCAAAGCGCCGCCAAAGCCGCGGAAAGCAAGCCAATGGCGCTGGCTCTATAAGGCAGGGAACAAATCGTGCAGAAGGGACGGCTGATCTATTGAGCGGCAAGGAGCTATGGAGAGAAGGAGTGAAAACTGGTCTTGGACCAGGGAAAGAAGTGTTCATCAGGAAGCCCAAGGCCAGAGATCCCGGGGCAGTAGCCTACGAGGATAATGCTTTGCATCCCAACACTATGCTCTTCCTGCAGGACTTGGCGGAGAATAATGATAGGCAATGGTTGAAAGGTAATTTCAGTTGCTAATTAAACGTCTGGAATTGGAAGCAAGCTGACGGACAAGCGGATCATAGCTCACGATGCGGATTACCGTGCTGCGAAGAAGGATTGGGAGAGCTTTGTCGAGACTCTCACAGAGCGGATCATAGACCAGGACGGCACAATACCTGAATTGCCTGTCAAGGATCTTGTAAGTGCAGAGCCTCAAGGTCGGGTAAATCAGGGAGAATTCAGAGAAATTAATATCTGTACCCCTTGATACAGGTGTTCCGCATACACAGGGACATCAGGTTCAGCAAGAATCCAACTCCGTACAAGGTAGGCTCGCTCATGTGTCTACTTTTGCTTTACTGCCGCCCATGTGGGGATTCGATGCATGGCCGGGCTAATTGCGAACATCGAGCAGACGCATTTTTCAGCAGCTTGGTATGCGCCTAGCCAATACTCCGTGATCATCAGCACAAGCTAACTCTTGTCAGGTCCCGCACTGGCAAGAAGGGCCCTTACGCTGCATACTACGTCCACTTGCAACCAGGGGCATGTTTCGTCGGTGAGTCGTGCAGGTTGATGTACCCACATGTCACGGTCGCATGCTAGCCCTGAGTCAACGTGTCTCCTTCGAACCTATGCACACCGCAACGGGGACGCACATGTCTTCCTCGCAGGAGCCAGTGTACCTCTTGCACACTTCCTTCCTCAGCCTCTCCTCATTCCCATTGTTGCTGATCTTGTGCCGTACGCTCGATGCGGTCGCTGAGGGGAGTTCGAAGCTGTCTCTCGCAGCCGGTTGAATGGCGGAGTATTTACGTTGTCTTGGTAGCCTGGGCTAACGATGGGTACGTGTTCTAGGTTCGGGGCTTTGGATGCCAGAGGCCGCCGGGTTGGCTCGTCTCCGACAGGATATCGATCATAATTCTCATCGTCTCAAAAGAGTCCTGAGAGCGCCTAAGATGCGTCAAGAGATATTCAATGGAATACCAGATGTTGATGAGAAGGCTGTAGAAGCTTTCGTTAGCCACAACAAGGAGAGCGCGCTCAAGGTCAAGCCCAAGGTAAGCGTCTGCCCCTGCAAGTATCACTTTGTGACTTTGAATCATTTTCCTTATGTTCGCACGTCAATTAGCCCTTGCGTGTCCTTGAGTTTCTGCCCTTCTTCCACAGCCCAGTGTCCGATGATGAGGTTTCGTCTGCTTTGTTATGATCGAGTCTGAACTTGGGTTTCGATTGGCATTGCGATCCGGTCGATCCATGGAAACACATATTTCACCGGGATGAAGAATACGATTGGAGGTCCCCGTCATGATGTTAGGACAGAATATGGCCTCTGGTTGATACTCCAAGAGGAAGAGGCCGGTGTGGCACTGGACGCCCTCGCCGGAACAGACAAGGAGTTTCCAGCCGCGCAGTTGCTCAGAAGGTCATCACACACCATCTGCACGCTGACAGAACCAAGCAGGAACATGCTTGAGGATGGAAAAGGCACGAACGATCTTGTTCTTGATGGCAGCGAGACTGACTGGTCCGGGTTGATGGGTGTGCAAGCGCAGCCGCGGCCGGGCGACTCGGCCTGGGCCAGACGCGTCTCTCTGCCTCAGGCGCTGATCGGGGATCTGAGCTCAGTGGCTCACAAGTGCCGTTCTTGGTTCGCCAGGCTGGGAGTCCAAGTGTCCACTGCCCACTGAAGTCTCGAAAGAGATTTTTGCACCGGCTCATTTGTTTCCATGGTTCAGCATATGCCGCCGTTCCGGCGGGTCTCCCGCTCTTGTCCAATTACGATACTGACAAACAACAACTCCTCTTCTGTCTAGGGCTACGATGCCGACAACGAGAATATCCAATTGCTCCGTCTGCGCAGTTTCACCATCGGCAGGCCTCTTACGGATGAGGAGCTGCTTAGCCCGAATGCCCAGGACCGGATTGCAGCGCTGGTCGAAATCATGGAGCCCTTCGTAAGCCACTCAAAAATCCGCCTTCTCTCCGCTTGCCCGCGTTTGCGTCTATTGGATCTTAGCCCCCGTATCAACGATACACGGCCGGTCCATTCCTCTTTGCCCCTTGTCCCCTCTCTGCCTTTCTTTTCCTAGCCTCCAGCGGTGTGGCTTCGGGCGCAAAAAAAAACCTTCCATTACCCACCACCGAACAAGTCGAGACTTGCGAGGTGGCAAGGGTGTCGAAACATAATTCTTCATTGTTCTTCTGTAACTGACTAAGGGAATATCGTCTGGCAGGTTACGTATCTCAACAGCGTTGTCATGCCTGATGCGACGCAAGAGGATGTTGAAGTTGATTCGGAAGCTTCAGATGACTGAGGCTGATGGTTCAGTTGGCCGTAAACCGCACCATATACAACTCGGACTCTTATCTCTCGCAGTTGGTCTGCGTTTTCATGTTTCCTAGTATCATTTATCATGTATATGCCCTCGATTCGCGCACACGACCCGTGCTTGGAGGTCTGGTAATTCAATGTTCTCGTGTGATTTGGAGGTGTCAGGGCGCCTTGCATAATGTAATCTCCCTAGTGGGCATGGATCACGGCCTGTATGTTTGCCACAATGGGCAGCTTCACCTGAGATTTGGACTCGTCGAGCGTTAGCATGTTGTGGCTCTACCTTCTCTTTGGTTGACACGTCTGTAATTGATACCAACCTCTTGTCCTCTTGCGCTAAGGGCTCTTCTCTCCATACCTAGTTTCGCACTTCCCTTACCGCCAATTTGTCTCCCCCAATGATGGTGGTTCCCGTGTCTAGTCCTTTACGGACTGACAGGATGTTCGAGTCTCCGTCCTTCGGGATAGCTCTGACGTGCATCTATCGCCTGCCTTTGCTGCTGTCTGCGCAACTCAACCGGGCCGTAGGTCGTGCCGTTGGCTCCACGATCTCAACTGTCGACCTGGGAATCCAATAGCAATGACCATCCACTTCTGCATCAATGCGAATTCGTCGCGGGCACGATTCGAAGAACCCTCACTCCTCGAGTGATCAGCATATGTCCACCTCGGCGCACACTGCATCAGTGCCCGAATCACCACCTTTCCTGTTCCCCTCCACGACGTACGCAGTAAGACAATAGTGGGGAGAAGGGAAGAAAGAGGGGTGAAGGATTATCTGCTCCTCCCCTTCGACCTCTCCCTGCACCGTGGCTGTTTGCTGGGTACAGTACTCCATACGTATGTGAGCTGGCACTATTCCTCTTTCTCTTTCCAGTTATCGCCTACTTCTGCATGCAAGCTCTTCTTCCCCTCCCCAGTTGCACCATAATGAGGGGAAGATTGGCAACCAGGAGAAACGGACCGAATTTGAGTCGAAGCGACTCCCGTAGTGTCGACTGGAAGAGGAGGAGAGGGGGAGGGGGTCAATGCCATCATCGATTGACCCTGCAAGCCTGCAAGCCATGAACCTTGTGTGTCTGACTGTCTGTACTGTAGCCGGTTATCTCCATCTGTGTGATGGGGGGCCAGTGGAATGTCTAAGCAAGGTAATGGGGAGACACAGACCACAGTAAATCTTAAGAGGAGCGGTTGAATCCGTTGAGACTCCAGAGATACTCTTCTTTTGGATTGGCTCCCCCGTCAAAGTGTCCTATTTCGATCTTGGGAGTCGATCTCTTCGGGGGCTGCCCCTCATATCGTGAAGTCAAATCCCATCCCCCTTCCATCATTCGTTCTGCGAGGGTTTAACTTTACTCCTCCCCTCCTCTCCCGTCGGGAGATACCTTTTCTCTTTTGTGAAGGGATGGGATGAAGTCTTTTCTTGTTTTGCTCCTTTTTTGCCTCTGGTATATTACCGTATTGTGTGCACAGAAGCATTAGTTTTGTTTTTTTGGTGGTGGAAGCCAAGAAGGACAATCGGTTTGTGAGCTGCTGGAAGGAGTGTCTGTTTTTCTGTCTCCGAGTCTCCACAGTGTCGAAACCTTAACAATCATCGTTCCCCGGAAAGTTGTCGCCTGTATATCCTCGGATTGTCTTACTGTTAGCCTGGTGATTCCGTAACGCATTGCGATTGTCAATCGTGGAGTCAGAGAAGCGTACGGACTACAGTACATACCACTAACACGCCATGATTATAAGTGTCTGATATATGATTCAGGCATGGTACGTGCACACAGCCGATCCCAACACAGGTCTAGAATTCATATATCCTCGGCAGTACTTGGTCCATCGAGCGCCTGATTCTACCTCATCCGGACGACGAATTGGTTACTGGGGCCAGCGTGTCAACGATGTCTCCGTCGGTCGGTGGCATATCACTGACCTGTTTAGAAGTACTCCCGAAAGCCGGGGGACCATCGGACATACAATCTGAGAATGCCCTCCCTTCAACTCCCCCTTGCTTTCGATACTTTGTCGACCAGCCGATGGTGTCTTATTTACCTTGGCTAGCGGAGTGCTGAGGTCGTGAGTGTATATGTATAGCGCCGACAAGTAAACGCACTCACGAGGGGTGAAGTCGACAGATGCCATAGGCGTCCACGGTTGATTCCCCGCTATCTATTTCCCCTTTCCTCAGCGCCCTCCCTCGGCAGTTGATCATTGTGACAGTACCACATGTACCTATACTAATATGACCTTGTTTGTATAGACACCGGAACACTATGCAAAGTGAATTCGGTCATGCCATGTCTGCGACTAGTCAGTCAACCAAGAACATAGATTATCTACTGCTGGAGACAGTAAACTTAGTCCCTGGATCTATCCTCTCCATTTATCACGGAATACGGAGTACCGTATGTCCAGTTTCGTCCCGCCCTGTCATATCATATCGCATCATGTCATACCGCGCGCAATCGTGGGGACCAAAGCACCCGACTACTGCATAGTACCACCCTCTTTCCCCCTTTCTATTCCCGCTGTCAGCAAGAAAATGTGATTCATCACATCGGGAGAATGACAGGATCGATGCATCCGGTATTTCTTCGGGGATACACCCGTAGTGTACGGTAGTTGACTTCGCAGAAGCAAGCAAGTCTTGGTTATTTGCTGATGGTTTTATTGGGATGGAGGTAAAGTAGATGTACCCACGGACAGTCACTTAAGTCACTTACATCCATTACCTGCATCCATGGGTTAAAGTCGAGGGGGAAGGAGATTCAGGTACAGTCTTGCTTATCTAGATCTCGCCGTTTTCTTCTTTCTTTGCTTTTTTTCGGTGATTATGACGTAGATTTGCTTTTTCTCCCCTTACACATCCCGGTAAATAAGGATCTATTTCTGGTGGTTCATTCCTTTTCTCTTTTACTCTGATTGCTTACTTCTGCTTGTTTATGTTTGGTTTGTCCTTCCTAGAAAGTAGGTAGCACGTATGGTGGGTTTGTGCGACTTAAATCGGATCTCGGATGACTATAACTAAGGGCAGATGATAGTTGACATCGCTGGTTGTGTACGGCATCAGCGTACATCCATTCTCAGTCTTCCGTTCGTGCTGTGCACTGTGCGCCTGTTGGAGCGAGCCTTCCAGACATTAAGTTTTACACATGTCCAGCACTTGCTAAAAAGACACAATCTCATGCCTGAATCCCCTCCTATACCACGCCTGCTGGGTTCGAAGTATAGCCGGTTACACCGTCACGCGACGGAGGCTACGCTGGGGAACGATTCGATGTACAACGACAACTCCTAGCACAAGTGTGTCACACTCCCACAGCCGGATCAGGTAAGTTAGAGGGGATCACGGGTACCGCGCGCTTCTCATGCACCAGATCAGGTGCGCGTGTTTCTGGAGGAGCAGCGCGAGTCAAAGCCCTCCCTCCCTCCCTCTTTCCCAAACAAGTGGATTGAAGAACGTAAGTGATTCGAACCGGTTCGCGACGGCATGAACTTCTTTCCAGTCCTACTGAGGGGAGAGAGAGAAGAGCTCCCTGCGCCCTACCTTGGGAGATGTCTAATGACAACTGCCCTGCTATTGTTGCACGGGTAAGAAAGAGAACAGTTGGCAGAGGAGAAAAGATCTGGCCCTGTCCCCCTCGTTCTGCCACGTCATAAGATTAGGGTATGTATGAGACACGTGTTGTCAATCACATATACTTGTACTTTACCTCATATTTAGCACAGACAAGTGCGACGGCCCAGGAACAGTACGGACGGAGTACATGCCAATCCGTTCGGTATTTACTTGCGGGTTCATTGTTCGGCCAAGTCAAGCCACCAAAGCCACAAGCCTGCCTGATAAGTTAGCCCTGCCTATATAGTGGACAAATAGCGCTCCCATAGGCCGCTTGACATTCACGTGACTGAAACCGTATGCGGGCTGATCGATGATCCCAGCAGGGCGACGGTAACTAAGACAACGACTCCGTCATGAGCCAGTGACAGTTTGCGGTTTTTGCACACTAAAACGGGTCCCTGCTAGCTTGCGAGGGAGAAGTAGGCAACGAGGAAAAAAAAAAAAAAAAAAAAAAAAAAAAAAAAGGATGGTGATGATGGTGGCATCCTTTGCATCCCAACCCAGCGCAAGAGAGAACTCCAACTGAGGTTCCTGCACAGTGGCTACTAACACTAACTGTACAAAAGAAGGGGCTAGGCCAACGCCTCAGATCAGGCTGCACTCGAAGGAGACCAAGACAATCCCACTCAGTCAAACAGAAAAGAAAGCAGTGTGAAGTAACCGGTTGGTTGCTGCTGGTGAGCTGCAGTTCGTCGTCCCCCACCCCTTGCCTCGCAAAATCTACCTAGTTTCTTCGGGACCGCTTTGTACCATGGTTCCATGGTACAGTGTGAGAAGAGGACTTGCAGAGCGCGCTAAGACAACACGAAGTCACGAACAAAGTCGACGGTTGGCCGCAGTGGAGCCCAGAGAAGGGCAGACAACAAAAGACAGCGACTTACCGGGGCGGAACAGGGAGGGGGGGAAATGTCCACAGCCCATACACACTAACTAAAGAGTCCATGCCACGCACAGCTGACTGGAGGTGTGGGTTCTGGCGGCAACGGAAAGACGCGGACGGCAATGCACCGCGCCGATTGGGATCGCAAAAAACGTGGCAAGAGACGCTAAAGAGGGGAAGGAAAAGGAGGACGGGGCGGGGGGCCGACCGCAAACTAATTTAGTGCGCCAAAATCCTTTTCAATCAGTCTTACCGTTTCCTCCGT